TCATGTCCGTCTTCCGTCCTTCCTTTGAATTTTGCATTTAGCTCAGTTCAAAGCTCAGTTTCAAATAAACTAATAAAGATATTTTTATCAAACTTCATGTGCTGATAGATATTGATGAGAGCTACTCAAGTGCATCAACATTTTTTTTACCTTGACCTTTCCGTTGACCATGACCTCACTTTTCTTAAATTATTATTTAGCTCAGTTTTAAAGAAATCATTGAAGATAGTGTAATCAAATTTCATATGCTGATACGTACTAATGTACACTATTTAACTGCATCACCATTTTTGACCATGACTTTTCCTTTGACCATGACCTCACTTTTCTTAAATTATTGTTTAGCCCAGTTTTTAAAGAAACATTCAAGATGGTGTAATCAAACTTTATATGCTGATAGATACTGATGTTAGCTTTTCAACTGCATCAACATTTTTTGACCTTGACTTTCCTTTGACCTTGATCTCACTTTTCCTAAATTAGTGTTTAGCTCAGTTTTAAAGAAATCATTCAAGATAGTGTAATCAAATTTCATATGCTGATACATACTGATGTAAGCTATTCAACTGCATCAACATTTTGACCTTGACCTTTCTTTTGACCATGACCTCACTTCTTAAATTATTGTTTAGCTCAGTTTTAAAGAAACCATTCTAGATAGATACTAGGGATGGCAATCGATTACAGATTTGCTAATCGGTTAACCGCAAGACGTTCCGACCGATTAACCGGTTAATCGTATCAAAATACACATTTTCTTGACATTTTTTTTTCAAGTATAGCTCTACTCATGGTAAGATGTTAGAAACAATCTGTTTATCTTGATCAGGAGACTACATGTACATATACATGTATTTCATTTCAATAGCAATAGATAGGAAAAAATTACGAAAACCATGAAACATGCCTGAGAAATCAGACGTTGATAATTTTTTAGAGCAGATGTCACACATTCTGCATTGTCGCCATAATCAAAACTAAGTCTGAACTTTCACTTAATATATAATTTGATAGATAACTGCAAAAGATAGACATAATGATTCACAGTGCTCAACGGTGATTTATTTAACATCATTAAAGAATTACAGGACAGTCGGGGTAACATGTTGTTTGTACAGTAAACAACACTTCACAAACTGACCAATTACCCGCGATCTCAATGAAGAGAACAATAATTACCTCCAAATCAGCTTACATAGATTTGTGAAAACGCTAAATTATCAAACGTGTATGTAGAAGTTTCATTTTTAAAAATGATTTGTAAGAAAATTCCGTTCAAATTTACATATATTTTCCTTTTTTCCGACTAACCGATTACAGATTTTCTAACCGATTACCATCGTTTCGACCGAGTAATCGGTTAACCGGTTGCAAATTGCCATCCCTAATAGATACTGATTGTGCTTTTCAAATGCATCAACATTTTTTATGTTGACCTTTCCTTTGACCTTGACCTCACTTTTCTTAAAATTAGTGTTTAGCTCAGTTTAAATAAACAATTCAAGATATTTTTATCAAACTTCATATGCTGATACATACTGATGAAAGCTATCAACTGCATCAACATTTTTTGACCTTGATTTTCCCTTTGACCTTGAGCTCACTTCTTTACGTAGTGCTTAGCTCAGTTTTAAATAAACCATTCCGGATAGTGTTATCAAACTCCTTATGCTGATATATACTGAAGTAAGCTATTCAACTGCATCAACATTTTTTTACCTTTACTTTTCATTTGACCTTGAGCTCACCTTTCTGAAATTAGTGTGTAGCTTAGTTTTAAATAAACCATTCAAGATATTTTTATTAAACTTAATAATCTGATATGTATTAGTGAGAGCTATTCAACTGCATCAAAAACCTTTGACTTGCACTTTCCTGTGACCTTCACTTAACATTTATTTAATTTGCATTTTGCTTTGTTTTTAAGTTTTAACTACATGAATTTTTTACTCTCATCACATCTTCGGAAAGATAGAAAATCACGGAACATGTCACTTTCAGATAAATTGTAAATTAATTGTAACGTCGGATAGAGTCAAAATTAATTGCAATTTAACCTTTGAATTTTCAAATTAGGGCAGGTCAAATAATTATTCAGTCAAAGCTGTCGTAGCGACGAGCTGTCTAACGCGATCAGCGGCTGTAATATTACTTCCATTCCATGCGGTTTTATGGTTATTATTTTTAATTTAATGCATACTAGTATTTGATGTACGTTCCTTGATTTAGTCGCTTTAACCCTAATTTTTAAAGAAATATTTCTTTGTCTCACTTAATTTGCGTCTAGTAAACGTCTCCAATAAGTACATATTTCTTTCAGTGTACCTCAGAAAAGTCGAAAATGCTAACCGGTATTAAGCAACCACCTGCCATGTGCGACCTTTTTAAAATCAATGCTGAATGCAAATCCTATATGACACGGTGACGTACATTAGAAATTGTTCTATTTAGAAGTCTGCTAAAATGGGTTCTGTATGTTGTACGTCAGTGCATGGAAATCAGCATGTGGATAAGCAATAAAATCTTAAAGAATAAATTATCCATGTATATTTTATACCTTTCATTTTTAACTCTGAAATTAAAATTAACAAAAGGAAAATTTGCTTAAGTTTTGGGTTTTCTGTATTAGGGAAAGTTCAGCAATAAGTTTAAAGTTTAATCGTGAAAGCTGAGCTTTAATTCTCAGAAGATTCTGTTATATTGCTGTTTTTATTTCTGCTGGAAGAAGATATCATTAGGCTTTCTTTCGTGATTGTGCACACAGGAATACTGTTGTATCATATACTTCCTCTAATAAACAATTTGTACATCTCTGTATAGATTCATTTCTATGGAAACAAGTAACCATCAAATTTTTCGATTTGATGAAGTCTTGCATAAACTTGTATATTTTGTATTCCCCCCTTTTAGTGGTTCATGTATAAGATATCACTTGAAATTTGAAGTTTATAATTTTGTTTTAAAGGAAGGGGGGGTAAAAAGAAAAATGTGCATGGAGAGAACACGATTTTATATTTGCAGACCTCATATACTACCTGTAATACTTATTATTTTGGTCCCTTGCGTTTGTATTTCGTAAAAACTCTTTCCAAAATAATGTGTTCTAGCTACTAAATATTCTATCATGTTTAAGAGATTCTGTAACAAAAAACTCTTTTAAAAAAACAAAAACAAAAATACATTTATGAATAATACATGTAATAAATGCAGACTGCGATTTATTTTAAATGGCTTTATTTTACATTGAATTTTTAAGCAATAAATTTAAATAAACATATTTTGGACACTATTGTATCATTGCTAATTTCATATTTTTAAGAAATGTAGCGGTTTGCGTCTTTCTTTTAGAAAATGATTAACTGAATCATTACATGACCACAGCAGTATGTAAGCTTGTACGGTTGACAAATGACAATGTACTTAAGTAAAGTTTACAAGATTAGATATTTATTAAAAACGGTCACGTGATTGCGATCATTGCTACCGCGCGATTTGTGCATATGCAGCAAACCATCTTTTAAAATGTTAAACATACATGCATTACATTAGAAAGTGAAAATCTTAATTGAATCTTATCTAGTTATAAACTTTCAGTGCAACTTATGTAACAAAAAAAAAACATTTCAAGGTTGCCCAGTTTTATAGAGGAATTTTTCTCAAAGTTAAAATTTGATAATTAAATTGTTTTTAAATAAACATATTTAAACAATAAGATGTTTTGTTTTGTTGTTGTTGTTGATAGTATGTTGCAGCTGTTGCAGAAAAAAAAAATACATTCGGATTAAGTAATTTTTCTGCAATAGCTGCAACGTTATTTCCCATTGTAACAAAAAAATAGAAACATTTTATTATTTATGTCTGTATAAATAATTATATAAAGTAGTATTAAGTACGTTTATATTGTATATTTACATTCGCTGAATATTACCTCCTTTATTTCTTTATGAAAACAACGGTTGTTCATCAATAATTTAACGCCGCTAAGTAAGCCACATGTGTAGATTCTTGAGCAGTGGCTCTTCCATCAAAACTTCTTTTGTTAATAAAGTGAATAAAAAGCAAGCCTCGGAACATTCAGTTACTCTTGGTAACGTGTTCTATACTTACTTAAAACTCTCATCAACGAACAATACAAATATGATTTAGATTTCTTGGAGGAGAGCGCTTATGAATACCTCGCAGGATGAAAATCTTTATCCAAACGCAGTGCACATTGCTATATAAATATGTACATGTATATACATGGATCCAGCTTTTGTCTGTTTCCTTATCATTTCAAGTGTAAAGGTATGTTTGTCTTCTTTGTTGGCAGGTGTTATGATAAAGAGGAAAATGTGTTTCGCATATTGCTTTTCAGCAAAACAAATAGTCAAAATGCTTTTCCCCTTCTGAAACAAGGCGTATAAATGAAATTGTCTATATTTTATTATTTAAAATAATTATTATGGATTTGTTCAGAAAAAATTTTCAGTATATTCATCAAAATATTTGAAAACCCGATGCAATGTGAAAATACGACGTCGCTTTCCAGTGCTCCTGAAAGAACATAGTAAAACATCATCGGACTGGTTCAACTAAATCGATCAAAAACTAGTACTAATTGTAACGGGAACCGTTACAAATATTCCCCAAATGGCTCCTGTGACCCTTATGGTGCCCCCTTCACTACAACCTTCAGTGAATTAGGAAATACCTTCACTTTTTTTTTTACCAAAGTACATTTTTTGAAGAACAACGTAGATATACATACAGCCGTATATGAGTACAAGGCAGTCAGATACCTGTGCACGTGAATGCGTGTTTTCAAAAATGTGTTTGGGGGAACACATTTATTCTTTATAAATTTAGACGTTAAATTGAAAAACTTAACATCAGCATAACTAGTTCAAATACATAGCATTTGTTGCTAATTTGTTGATTATGTATAAGAAAGAAAAAATTAAAAGTTCTTTGTATTCTGTACTTTTCTATGATTTCTTCATTTAATTTACATCTTTTAGGCGAAGGTCTGGATATCTACAGGACCCTGGAAATCACGAAAGGATTACTACATTCTGTAGCGGATTCTAGCAATATAAGGACGGAACTTGCACTGTGAAAAGACGAAGAAACAACCTTTTGTGTAATTTATACAGGTGCAAGCTAGCATTTGCAAGGTTATAGAACAGATTTGAAATCATAATAATATTGTAATTATCTTTCTTTATTTGTATTTTTACAGGTAAAATGTCTTTGTTTTTAAAGGAAATGTTTACATACGTTGTTTTAAATGGTGCTTGGTTTTAGCATTGAAATCCATATACACCGGTTTCAATGGTTTGGATATACCGTATAACGGGTATTTTCTGCGGTTGTCCAATTTTTGCGGAATTTTGCGGATAGGACAAATCCGCAAAAATTACAATCGCAAAATATTTTTCAATATTTCTTCAGATATATTTTTTAAGTATGATAAGTGGTGCGTGTGTCCTCGTTGGCAAGAAAATTCGGGTGTCATCGAAATTCGAAGATTTTAGATATCAGGATTTTTCCAAAACATATTGAATTAAAACGTTGCTGTAAATAATATCAATTTAATAAGTTTATACAAAAACATTTTTTCTTGTACCTACATGTACTTCTTTATACGGATATACATGTACATGTAAATGACTAAGAGATATTTCGCAATTAATAGTCCAAACTCCGATAGCTGCAAACAACACATAGTAGCTTTTTCTTTAACACTTTTTTCAATCTTGTGTTTTATCTGGAGACCATAATTACTGCTTGTATACACAAAGTGGCTTGATTGTCTCGTGAATTTCACACAATGCAGACGACTGACAGGATTAGTTACGCCTCAATGCACATGGCACCTGTGATTGTACACGGTCAACTTTAGGTTATTTGATTATGCAACTGTTTGTTTGAGCTTAAAATATAAACACCAGATTAATTTTGATGGCAATTATCTATAAGTGTATTTTTTAGAATATGGCTTGGATGCATTAATTATCTATATATTAAATATTTTAATATATCGCATAAAACGTTTGTTACAATGTAGAATAAAGATTTTTTTATTGTTGTTTGGGTGGACCGATACTGCAATAATTCATTTCAATTGGGACTCGACATAATTTTACAAAGACTAACTGAAAGATAGTAGTTTAATTAAGCTTAATAGCTTAATACCAGTTCTCATGCAACTTTGATCAATATGTCTCAATGAATTTATAAAACGTAAACATGGCAGCTATCTAATAATTCTTAGAGATTGGTGATCATACCCAGTAAATAATTTTTTGCGGTATAATGCAACCGCAGAAATTGAAAACGCAGAAATTAATTTGCTATCTTTTAGGGGTTAAATCGCAAAAATTTCCAACCGCAGAAAATACCCGTTATACGGTATAGTTTTGCCTATACATGCCCCCCTTTTGAAATTCTGTTACTTTCTGTTTTGTTTTTGTTTTTTTCTGATGAAGATAATGCTTTTTATGCACATGTTTCTGTTCACTGATATGTAAATTTGTACTTTATATCGAAGTACGTGTATATCACAACTTGAAATAAAGTATATCTAAACATCGTGAGTTTTCAATGCATTTTAATGAATGACATTAAAAAAACACACACAAATTTACGACGATAGAAGACATTTATACATACATTGCCCTGACATATATTTGATGTGATGCCACATATTAAACAGCAAAAACAAAGTAAAGTGCAAACTATTTGTTTAGTAATCTTTATGCATAACACATAATAATGAAGGGACTACAAAACGGTTGGATTTCATTTTGACAGTATGTAAATATAAATTAACAGTTTTAGGTATGCATGATCAAGGTAAAAAAGAAAAGTCTATATGAGAGTGGTCCATGACATTGATGTTTCATAATTTCTACCTATCACTGTGATTAATTCGTGCTTATTTTAAGAATTCCACAGCTTTCCTCTATAAATGTCACCCATGTACTTTTCTTGGACTTGCATTTATGTTCAGGTTGTCTTTGGTCTGCTTTATAAATCAACGTTTAATTACACGACTTGTTGATGAACAGATTTGAAGGAGTCCAGAAGGAACTAAATTTAAACAAAATTACACAAAATGTTCACCTTAATACACTTAATCACTATAACGTTTCCGGGTTTGAAGAAACAAGAACGTTCATTGTCATCCGAGAAGCCCATTCTAAGACGGTCGCTGCTGTTCGTTGAAAGACGGCGACCACTCGCAGTCTAACGTTGTCATGAACACAATGAATAACCTTAATCCCAAGAAAAATGCATTTTTCAATATTATTTTTTTAGGGAATGATTGATAAAGAGAAAATTAGTTTCTCTTCTATTGACTTTTGGGTTTCTTCAGAATTGCCAGATGGCGTCAATGATTACATAATGTATTTTTCCTATCAGATATCCGGCATTTTATGTGCCTTTGGAATCGGACGGAAGTCCCGTTGTTTGGGTCTCCACCACGGTGGCGTTGGCGGTAGGGGTGGTGGTAGGAACTGACGTGTAACCCACCTTCACACAGTTAGTTTTAGTCGTGTCGTAGCAGTATCCGGCCCCACAGTTTATTTTGTAGACCTGTGGACTGTTCATATAACAATACACAACGCTATTGCAAGTCTCATAGGGATGAGGGTAAATGGCGTAAGCATTCTTGTCATTACAGAACGTTTCTGGAAAATAAACGGAAAGAAATGTGAATTAGGTAACCATATGTGTAGGGTAAATATATAGTATAAAGAATCATTCTTTGGTATACATGTATTTGAAATTAATTTTAAATAGACCAATAACAATTATTACTGTAACATTTCTTAAGTACATTTGTATGTTAACTTTCAAATAAAAGAACGCCAATAAATAAAAATCAATTTTACATTTATAAAAATTTTAATTCTTATTTAAAATACAACGAGTATTCCTAATTTGCTTTTTGGGGTCTACTTACTTGGAATGACGTTAAATTCGGCTTCTGATACGTATGTAGTGATGGCGTTGTTACGATATGTCGTCACCTCGCACATGAAGACAGATCCGTTATCGTGCATCTTAGATACCATAGTGAGGGTGCTCTCAATCAAGAGAGAACACCCTGTCCAAGTCCTAGTAATGTTTGGGCTCAGGCTAAGGTTAAAGTACTTATCCAGACCAGGCGGACGAAATTTGTAGGTGATGGTGGCGTTCGGTTCAATCAGCTCCATAGAACACGTGATGGTGGCAGTGTTGTCCTCCACTACACTGGTCGAAATGGTCAGTTTAGGCTTTGACTCTTTTTTATTCAGAGCTAGATGAAGAAATTTTTGATAAATGAACAATTGTAATTATTTAATGCAGAAAGTGATGCTTTGTAAGGAAAGTTGAGAAATAGCATCATACAAGTATAAACGGATTGATTTAAAATACAGAGTCATATATATAGCGTCTTTCAGTGTGGTTTAACAAGCATTACTAGTATCAACGGTTAAAAATAAGCGCCCCTTTAGCAGGACAATTGTCGATCAGAAAAGCTAACTTGGTCTTCGTAATTTATTTATGAAATTAGTTATGCACATTATTTTTGGGTTTTCTATTGCTTCAAACCAAAGGTATTTAGAAAGTGGCAAGTCAAATAAAACCGCATCTTGGTACCAACTTCTGCTGTGTAATTGCATTTTACTGTGGAATTAAAAATGCTCTGGCATATCAGTCAAACATAAAGCAAATTCAATAATAGTTTGCTTATAATTGATAGATCACACGATTTGCATGTTTATTAAAACTGAAATTATGCAATGAATAAATATATGATTTGTTTTTACTGAAGCAACATGTATGTCGAGTTAAGCATAATGTTTATCAAGAACTAAATTTTGAATAGCGTTCATGAATAATGGAATTTACATCATTATTCATTCCTCTATGATGGATTATCAGCTACAAAGAGAAAACAAGTTTACCAGAATTTGGTTATGGAAATGTCACAACATTATCGACCAAGTTTCTGCGATGTAATTTTTTTATATGTGCATCAATTTTCTCTCGTTTCTTTACCAATACCTTTTAAATCACAAGATTATTCAATTTTTTTATTGCTTTTATTAAAACTGGCAGTAAAATGTCCTACCCCTGTCATTGATTCTGATGAATGTTTGATACATTTTTGAAAATTATATCATTTCAAATTATCAGTAATTGTTTGAACAACGATCTTAAGATTTTACATACCTTGGACTTGGGTGGTGTTCTTGTAAGTTTCTTCTGGGAGTACCAACAAGCAGGTGTAGTTTCCAAGGTACGAGCAGTCCACTTCCTTGGAGTGAATTGTTACTAGTAAGGCATCCTCTTTGTAGCTTATCTCCGACGTAAAATTGGCGTTAATTTCCACGTTCGGGGAGCCCATGTATGACTTGACCACAACGAGGCTTACGATGGAATCCCCCTCCATTTGACGGTAGATCCTCATCTCCCTCCACTGTCTGGCATACATCGTCACACAGCTGACACTGAGCACGGCTTTTGAGTACGGTAACACAATGTTGTTGGTTTGGACGGTTAAAGCTTGAAGGAGAGAAAGATTGAAAGTTTGTTCTTAATTGCTTGTATTCTATGCAGATGATAATTATTGTATCGGTAAGCACATCAAGTAAATATTGGGAGTTCCATGGTTTTATTTAATTAACAGTGGAGTTGTTAGCTGAGGTACGAATATGCTCCAAAATTTAATTTTAACTTTTAATAATTTTACTTGTCTGAAAGATCCTGCATTGTAAATCAACCAGTTTGAAATAAGAGGAAATTGTAAAATATCATCAGAAAAAAAATATTGCCTACTAGGTCTTAGAGGGTATTCTGTGACGGTTTCCGTGGATCCTTGAGTGGACTGGGTGACCTTTGTGGTTTGGTCGTCTGCAATGGTGGCGGATGTATGGGAACTCAGTGAGGTAGTTCGAGTTTCTGTAGTAAATTTAATGCAAAAAGTAAATTATAGTAACCGATCTGTTCCAAAAGTAAAGAGAATCAGTGCAAAGTGTATTTAAAAACTCTCCCATACATATATTCGTATTCTCCTAAGTAAATGCACTGCATTACAATAGAATGTGTAAATTCCTTGAAAAAAGATTAAAAGAAAAAGAATAATGAAGCAGTTACAAACAAAAATAATATATTACCTGTGGTGGAACGGTGTGACGATTTTGTCGTCTGACTTGCAGACGTTGACTCGCTGCTTCTGGACTTAGTCGTCTGTTTATGCACATGAGAAGTTGCAGATTTCGTGTACGTATCGTCAGAAGAGATTCCTAAAAGATGTTCTTATACCACTTAGATTAAGTATGTTTGTGAAGGAATAATATCATCAGAGTATATACACAGTATATACAATATGTATACTTTTTTTTGAGGTCAATATATTTATGGATCGACCTCATAAAAGGGCTATATTTGTAAAATATTGGAACTGTGTTAAAACCACAATTTTTTGTATATAAATGGACAATTCTTTAAATTCCAATTCATGTCATAATCATTTGTTACAATTTTATGTTCAAAACCACACATTAGAGTAACATCGTTAATTACAAATATGTCACACCAGATAACCACACGCTGCCCCAGGCATTCGTCACGAGAGAGGAACCAGGAAACAACAGGTTGGTTTCTTACATGAACAGTTTATGACCTTATTTGTAGATATAAATATATATGGACATATTCTTTTTCATGATGAATGGTCTATTTCATTATGTAAGAATAACATTACCTATTTTAATAAGTTAATTCAATGATGTCATACTGTCAGCTTTATCCCTTTTAATCTATAAGTTATTAATGTGTTAGTTACAAAAAATTATGTGTGTGTTTGATTTGTAGAATTTACAGATTATATGAGATTGGAGTTCTAGACCGGCCAATCATACACAGGAAAAAAGCATATCATGAAAATATGAGGAATTTATGTTTTACAATAATGATAATGTTAAGTACCTTGAGAGGTTGCCTTTTTTGAGGTAGATGATGGGTAATGAGAGGTCAGTTTGGTGATAAATGGACCCTTTGTCGAGGGACTGTCTGTAGAGTCTTGGGCATCTGGACCTGAAATATGTGCACACATTGTAGGTATATTAAATTTACAATTACACTCGCGACCACAATTTAGGAAATTGATTATTATAATTAAGTGAATACATGTACCTTAATTTTGATTGAGTGTTCTTTTCCGTGTATGTATGTTTTATTATATTTTTGTGATCTCAAGACAGAAAAAATGGAGGACATACATGCACTTCTGAAAATATTATTTATACATTTGTATAACGATAAATGACTTGCATGTATTTAGCAAATTCTGAAAATAAAAAAAAAATCTTACCAAGGCGAATGGTTTCAACTTGTCCTTCATCTGAATTTACATCTAAATTTGTAAGAATATTGCATAAATTAGTTATAGCGGTAATTCCCAGAAAACATTGGCTTTTGTTTATCACAAAATATAACGTTATTTATCTTAGACAAACTGCAAAGTTCCAAATTATTGGATTTCAATGATAATGTGACAACTTTCCTTTACGTAAAACTTGAATATTTTAAGCATGTCAGTTGGTTTTAACAAATATTTTCGTCAACCATATTCATAAAACCATAGGATTATGCAAAACTTGATAGTGGAAATGTTTTTTGTACCGAATTGCATCCCCCCTAACCAGCCCCCGTGTTTTTAGATGAGCTTATTTCTACAGACTTTAACAAATTTTAAAGAACAACAAGAGAAAATAAATAAATAATAAAAGAATGAAGGAAAGAAATAAGATTATTGATTTTTAATGACTTACTGTCTTTCCCAGTTCCAAAATAAATTGCTAAAGTGATTGCCACGACTGCTAAAGAAGTGACCAAAACTGCTGCTGCAAACAGGATATACCAGCGTGTTCTATTTTCCCTCGGTTTCCTAAACCTCGTAAAAACGTTGCTTTGCAGTGCGTCACGTGACTTCATTGCTTTAGCAGTGCAATCCTGCAAAACGTTCATTTCAACGTGAACAAATTTGAATAAATGTCTGCAATAGTTTTTAAGATCACGTTGTTTCTTATCCTGATTTTTTTCCATTCCAGAAAACAGTGCTAGTTGAGTAATCAGAGCATTTCAAAATCTCCCAAGGGAGCCAAATAGCGGTTTCCAAGAGGTTGTGCGATACCATTTAGCGACACAATGAACTCGTGTCCATTCGCACATGATGTTAAGAGGCGTGTGTATAAGATTTATTTATGGAAGCTTTATTAGGCGTACAAAAAGTTTTAATCTAACGATTTAAATAACATATGGATTCTCTTGATTTATGAATTCATTTTATATAAGTATGATTTACATGCTTGACATGACAATAAATTCCAGGCAGTAGACGTGTGAAGATTTGGTATGCGGTCTTCGTTTTTTTAGGTTAAAGGTGACAAATTTTGCTATCAGAATTAGAACTAATTTGTTTGAATTTTTTGCATATAAGAATTCTATTCCATTATTTCTTGCAAATGAAGGATGTATCTGGTTTGTATTTAAATGTGTTGGTATGAATAAATTAGAATCGTTGTTTAACTATTATCTATAGAGCAGTGATATGCATTGTTTTTATTTGATTGATTATCCAATATTATGTATGATTACTTGTTTACTAGTCTTTTTGTCATTCATCAGTTATTTAAAAGAATCATTTAACACTTTCAACGTAGGTGTTTGTTAGATGAATACTAGTTTTTATATGAATATGCCTATAACTTTGTCATTCATGTCTATGTTAGTCAACAGAGTCCAACTTAAACAAAACATTTTTCTGTAGAGATTTATTTGTCTTCAGGCTGCAAGTAATGTTAGTCGAATGCTTTGGAAAGCACTGTTAAACTTCAGGAAATATCTTCATTTAACTCTGTATTATGATCGTAATATTTATCACGATTGATTTTTATGCAATATTTTGGGGAAAAAAAAAAGAAATCATTAAGCTGACATTTAATGGTTGCATATTTTTTTTTCTAAAGGGTATTTTGTTTCATCTTGAGCTGTCACAGTTTTGACTACGCCTTTACTCTTGTCTGTGATCTGTCTTGCACTTCTGTACACTTTTGGAATATTAAGCAGTATTACAAGAAGAAAAAACATATTAGATGTGTTAATCTCCACGCGGTAGCTGTCATTCTATCGTCAAAATGTTAAAACAGTACACAAAAAATAATATACTGTCCGTGTGTACTTACTGTGAGCCAATGATATCTGATCCAAGCGGTCATTGTACGAGGTAGTATTTCAGATAAAAAAAAATCTCGCTGAAAATTATAATCACCTGTTTAACAAGTTAATTTGTGACCGTTGTCTTCGAATTTCCTGTATAAAGTGCTGCGTCTTTTTTCTCTATAGGTCAACCGAAGACGGAAATATTGAATAAAATTAAAATGGTTTTGCTTGATTTATTCACGTTGACAATACAAGGTCATAAATTTATAAGCCATACCCAAATTGACAATCATTATACTAAAATTATACGTATGTATGGCAATTTGGGTTCATTACACTAGTTTTCATTGTTTTTTATCTCTTAAAATCTCTTGAAATTAAAGGTATTTTGCACGTTAAATTAAGTTGAATCCCAAATCTTGTGATTTAAACATATCATACGAATAGTAATGAAACTTGTTGACTTTCTGCTTAATTTAATCGGGAAAATATTTCCAAGAATGGTTAAGATTGTCCTAAAAATTCACCCAAAGTTTTCATGATGAGCAATAAATGAAACCACGTGGCTATCTCCATAATCTTTCGAACCCTTCGGCAAAAACCTAACGGAGCATAAAGATCAACTCGGCAATCAGGAACATTTTGTTACAGAGTATGTGGTCAGTAGGTCGCAATCAGTCAGCGTAACGGGGTGTTCGGGAAAAAAGTCTGAAAATGTTTGAAAGTTTTACCAACTTCTGGCAGCTGTAATTCTGTAGTTAAATTTCACATTACACCCCGGAAAGCGCTTTTTAAAAGATTGCGGATTTTGTAAATAATTTATTATTAAACATATCACAGAAAGTTTTCATTATTTGGATTTGTGTGATGCATGCAGTATCATTCTAAAATACTTTTAATTGTTGAAAAAATAATTCATAGAACTTAAATGCGTAATGTTCCTGCATCTTATCTCAAAATAACGTTCTTTCAGAATTTTTGTTTGTTTGGACGAATAAGAGAAAAATGCCAATAAATGAAAAAAATAATAATAATCATTACAAAACTTTCGTTCATTAGAAAGAGGCATTGCAAAATATGGAATATATTTCAAATCCAGTCGTCAGAGGGTTAAAATTTGAATGCAATTACATGAATTTGTTGCAAGTTGCGTGACTTAGTGGTAAAAGTGGTTTGACCCCTGCACAAAGAACTAATCACTAATTTTTTCCTTTCATTTTTTTTCCATTCTTATTTTCTCTTTTCCCATTTCTTTGACAACAGAATTTTATATAATTTTTTGGCAATTTTCCCTATGGATTACAAATACAATGCATTAATCACCAAGTTTAAAAGCGAAGTTTACAAACGAAGATACATTTACATATGTAGGCATTTCTTTCTTTGACGACAGAATTTCATAGAATTTTTTTATTGGCAATTTTTCCCTATGGATGACAAAAGTATTTTATTAATCACTAAGTTTAAAAGCTGATTTCTTTACAGTCGAAGATGCATATATAGTTATTACTGATGCCTTGTACCCCCCGCGTTATCATTTTTTTCTTTCAAAATAATAGACAAGCCTTGATTAAAAAATCAATCATGTGCTGATTTTAAATGCAATTTTTTTTTTTTTGAAATTATGAATGAAAATTAAAAAGTGACGCGCAACAGCTTTAAAATCTTTTTTTTTAATTTATCACGATGATTTTTGAATTTTTCCTCTTATCTAAAAGCAATAAAAGATTTATGAAATATGTAATGATTTTTTTTTTGTACATAGACATACGTACTATTGAATAAATTTATAAATCTACAAAAAGTACTTACGTTAATAGACTGACCATTCCCGATAGGATGCCCAGATGGCTCTCCCATGCCTGTTTTTACACTGTAGACATACCTCTGAATAGACAAAACACGGAGATCTCAGGGCATGTATGCTTAAAAAGTGATAAAATCTCCAAATTTTGCCCGATCGCACTGCAGTGATAACAATGCTGCACGCTTGATCAGTTTTCTCTAAAGCAATTAATAGATAACAGATATTCACGGTTTATAAACGAAAATCCTCTACCTATATACTTCATAAAAATATCCAATAATAAACGAAATCTTTCATTTTTAAAAAAAACAAACAAACAAGGAATTGGTATGAATTTTCTAAAGATAGGATACAAAGTTAATTTTTCTTAGTCTAACAAGGCCATATGACAGGTCAATGGCTTCAATCCATAGGCGTTGTCAGACATTGTTTTAGTACACGTTTCCGCATATTGCTGTCTTGTCATTACAATCAATCAATTCGCCTATAAGCATTCACATAGTCCCTTCAAATTCAATTTGCTTTCGATTAAGATTCGGTCCACATTGATGAGAGCAAGGTGTGTTTTCAAGAAAAATTGAATTGTTGTTTCTACCTTCTATATCATTTACGACCATGTTTTTCTTCTTATATAAAAGTAAATGGACAGACGATTCAAGAGGAAGTAGGTTGCAAGTTCAAAATTCTAATTTTGTTGGAGGAAACTTAGTTGGTTAAATAATTCTGAATTTGTAGTATTTTCAGTTTGCAGCGATGCCATTTGTCATATTGAATGAGAAACTAGCACGCACTGACTCATGTCCCCTCAGAAGGGATGATTTCTTCCTGAATATTATGTTCTTTGTTTAAATCTTATTAGATGACGTTACTTGAGAGTTTAAGACGATTATGTTATTTTTTTAAATTATTTATGAGTTGAACAGGTGTTGTATTTTTTTCTATATGATATCTTCCATACATAGTTAACTTCTGATGTAAGTATAATGAACGCTAATGTTGTCTAGAATGAAACCAAGATAAATTATATGTACCTCAGATATGTTTTGTTTGTATTTTTTTTAATTGTCTGATCTTCAGTGTAGACCTTTTATACAACTTGAATTACGTAGTAGAGAGATGAAGACATTTCATTTTAATGTATGTATTTTGCATTTATTTTCCCTTTTTAATTTTTAAGCATAACGTATTTCAAAACAATTAAAAATCAATTTTATATATATATATATATATATATATATATATATATATATATATATATATATATATATATATATATATATATATATCTCTTTCTATTGGTTAAAAGAATACGATTAAAATTAGGTTTAAAGTATGAGCATGCTCGCCAATGAATTGTTCCTTTTTCACACACCTACGAGAGTTGATCCAAAAGTTATGTAACAACTGCTATAAAATCTTTAATAATCGAATGTTATCAACAAAATTTGATATACTTATACCCCTGTCTAGTTTGATTTTGGCCTTAAAATTTCATGCAGTTATATAAAATACTTTTAAAAATATTAAGATGAACACAACGTTAGGTTTTGTCTGACGCCGTTACTGACGTCGTTGTGACGTTACTTTTCAGCACGCATTTTTAGTTCCATCTACAAATCTTTTTAACATCCAACATGCTTCTTTTAAAAATCTCAACAGCCATTTTGCTATGAAGCGTCTTGTTTTAAGTTGTAGTATTGAAATTATTTGATTTTTGTCCAAATGTTGCTTCTTCATTCTTTTGCATATATGTTAAGTATCGTCAGCTTCAAGAGTTTGTGACGTTATAAAAACTTGACTAATCGTCCACCTCACATTTCTTCTTCCACAGTGAAAAGTTCGATACCTGACTTAACGCCCTAAACATTATTTTTTTAAAGAAAAAAACATTGTCAATAAATTTGTTTTTAACTGTTATTATTATAGTTTATCAATTTATCTCGACGATTTATTAGTAGTGTAAAAAACAAGATTGGGTAGGACCCGTTTTTGGCCTCTGGATGGGGGTGTCTCTTAGATAGTATACATCATCAAAAATCTCTTTGCATCTCTGCTGAATATGTGATGTTGTAAATAAGAATTGATGATACACAGGAAAGTCACAAAACATAAATTTATGAATTTTCTTACTTTTATTCTAGTTTTCGACAATTTTAGAGCACATTTTGTTTCAG